GTAAGTTACTAATTATAATGCTTACATTTCCTCAGTTATTAAAAAAGCAGCAACAGAAAACGAGCAAAGAACATTACATTACCAAAGAACATCATCACAAGCTCAGTCTAGCGTGAGTATATGCACTTTAATAACACTCCCATTAAAATCAGTGAATCTACACTGTATGATGAATAAATCTCTTATACTTACATCGCAAGTACTTCTGCACTTTGTTGTTTATGATGAGAGAATTCGCGAGTCAGAATTCAGTCAGGGCGAGCTGAACAACGGAACTCCGCTGTTTCAGTGGCGAGTCATCTGAACGCCTCTGATTGGCCAATGCATTCATAAGCTCTGCATAATTGTGTGTGATTGGTTATAACGCGCACTACTGTAAAACACGGAAAAATAAATACAATGCAGCAAATAAGCCCTAATATTAATTAGATAGTATTATTAGCCTGATAATAATAATAATAATAATAATAATAATAATAATAATAATCGTCTAGCTATCGTCAAAGGCATCAGCCACAGGCGATATCTCTGACTATCGTCGATACACGATACTATCGTCAATCGGCACAACCATAGTTACTAGTGCTGGGTTTTATGCATTCATCAATGCACATAGTAATTATCTTCTTCCCCTCTCTTTTCTTTGTTTAATCGAATTTTTGTTTTTGCTGTTTAAAGTCCCGCACCTGCACCAGTATTAAAGGCCATCTCAGTCAGAGGGAGGACCACCAGCCATACCTACTGGTATTGAGAAGGATCAAGGGCAGGATCACCTTATTCTATGTGGTCGGACAAGCTTCTTATCCCTTCTGAAGGAACCAGCTCCTTGAGTGCTATCAAACTCTAAGTCCACTATGTGCTCAACCTGTATCAGTAGGTCCTTGTCAATGTCTTTATCTTCCTGCTACACTCTACAACAAATGACAAAACATTTTTCAGAGCATCATGTATTTAAAGTACAAAGATATTTTAAGTTGAGAGTACATCTAACAGCCAACATTTTGAAGTTCTACATGTCTTTTGATCTGTAGAGTTCACATGGGTGATATGATGGTGAATTTTTATCTTTCTTTTAAAGGTCCCCAAAAATGCTTTGAAAAACGCAGGGTTATATTCTATGTGTTGAGGTCATTTTAACTGAAACAGGAAGACAGGGCAGGACATATCAAGCAGCCCCGCCCCTTTTTTAAATAGCCAATAGTGTTAGTTTATATCACAGCTTGGACTAAAGCCGTTCAGAGCTGTTGAGCTCCGTAAGCCGCATTTGACAGGGTATGACAGCCACAATCTCATCCATATTGCCAAACAGATTACATTTAATGACAAATCAGGGTTTGCATGAACACTATATTAGTGTGAAAATGTCTCCCCTTGGTATTAATCTATTAACACACCTAGTGTAGTTTCAACACTAACTTGGTGTAAATGAGGGGAAAAGCAATAGTGTTAATGGTGAACACTTACAGTGTTGTTTTAACTCTATGCAGTGTTAAAAAAGTAACACTATTTAAAGTGTTAGTTTAACTCTGTTTGGTGTGGACCTATATAAACACTGAGAAAGTATTATTTTTTCCACTGAGAGTGTGAATTTAACACTTTCAAATTTTTACCTCTATGAAAGTGATTTATATTCCTCATTATTTAATATAAGTAATAACAGCAACATTTTATGTATAAAACAAAACTGTACAACACAAAATTCTGAGTTAAATCTGAATGGATCAAGCGACTTTTGCAGTTTATCACTTGATAGAGCTGCAGATGCACAGTGCACATTTGGTTAAATTGACCAATGCAAGAAAAAAATAATAGTTTTGCCTGAAGTGTATTGCCTTAAAATAAATATAAAATTATTATACCAAAATATATTGCACAATTAAATTGTTTTGCTAAATGAAAAGCAATCTAAAACATGCTGTAGAGAGAGAGAGAGAGAGAGAGAGAGAGAGAGAGAGAGACAGAGCAGATAGCACAAGGTAAGAGAGCAGGAGACCCTGACAGATAAAAGTAGTCCGGGGAGAGATGTTGATACCCTCCCTAACCTGGACACTACAGCAGATAAGTGAACACCAGCCTTTCACTCTCAGATAAGAGCAGGGAGGGCGAAGGCTGCAGACACTCTGACAGAAACACCACAGCTGCATATGTATCATCCACAAAAGTTTATACCGGTTGCTGTGACCAGGCAGATGCTTTTGACTCAAAAAAAAAAAAAGGTTGTTTATTACCAATATTAAAGCTGATTGCTTTTGACTCAAAAAAAAAAAAAAGGTTGTTTATTACCAATATTAAAGCTGATTTCTGCCAGAGATTTTAGTATATTATTGGGCCGCTATGACAAGGAATAAAACGCACAACACTGAAGGCTTGTCAAACAGTCCTAATGTTCATAAACGTAATTACACACCACAACTATAGAGGGCTGAGGTTACTAGCACACTGTCATTAGCCTGTGTTTCAGTTTTACAGCCACCTAAACATAACAATTAGCATAATCAAACAAAACCTGTAATCATCCGTGAGTACAATTAACGTGGAAGCGCCAATGTTATGCTCATGTTTTGTCTTTGTCAGTATTTCCGTCTTCTGACTTCAGACCTTTTCTGCTTCTCCAGCTGTACAAGTACTGTTTCTTCTGTTGTCTCGGCTGGTAAAGTCTGTATAGTTCATTGTCTAGGTTTGCATCACCAAACTACATGGTACATGGCAAAATAAAGTACATTGAGTGGGGACCCGCACCATACATAATTAAATCACTTTTTATAGAAAACTATTATGGAGGACAGTCTACAGTCTCATATGAGTGTACACCATTCAGATGACTCTTCACAAAAACACATAATACCATGTGTGAAACTGTTTGAATTAACACCAAACTAATTATTAATCATGGAAATCACTCTTTTCTCACAAAAACACAATGCTAGGCTTGTTTTCTGCTCACTGTGAGACTCTGACTCAGTGAGACTGATTGCAAACAGATTGCCAGCAAGGTCACGGCTGGAGATATTAAAGCCTCATAGCATCAGGACAACAAAGACAAAGTAAAACAAAGTGGAAAGCGAAATTACCAATAGAAAAACAAAAAATAAGTGGAGTAGGTATCATAGAGAGCCGTCAATATTTAAGTGAATGGCCTTTAAAAAACAATTGGTATGCTTATACTCTCACCTGTCTCACACACACACACACACGGACACACAACACACAAACCATGTGATGGTCTTTTAAGATTGAACACCCATGAGGAGGTTGACGAAATATAAACGTTATACATGAAACAGAATAGAAATGTGGAGCAATGAGGAGCATGAACACATGGGTATGGATTAAAAAGGCCCCATTTACTAACCTGGGTGATCTGGTTTTGGTGGGGTGTTCGGAGCTGATGTGCGGGATGAGTCAGAATGTCTTAGTATTTACATTAACAATGAGATGTCGTGGCATCCGTTTCTGACTATCGAATGTGATTTGAGCACTGATATTACTGAACTCCTGTGGTTGGATCACCTTAGATGTATGTTAATACCAGGTGTAAATAGGGCTCGAGAGACCAAAATATTTAGGCTGAGGACAAACATTTGAAGTCAAAGCTCACTCACTCTTTGCTCCTGGGTAGCCACGAAGGTCTGAAAGCCTGGGGCGACTCCAAAGCCCAGCTCATGTACAAAGGGAGGCTCCGCCTGACTGTGGATCTGCACCCTTACTCCTGCCTCAAATGCAGTCTCTTCTAAAGCAGAGAAGTAGAGAGAGAAAAAGAGAAATAAAAATATTAGTTTTGCTTCAACAGAGTACAATGGAGGAGTTAAGCGGAAGTAGTCTTGAATGAAGACATTTGCATCTTTAATGCTTTCATTCTTGAAAAAAAGAAGAAGAAAAAAGACCACCTAAGCTGATTCAGCTGGTGACCAGCTTTATTTTATTTCAGCCTATATACAGCTTTATTTTACCAGATTCACAACAACTTTGGTGCACACAAATTAGTTTTTGTCCTTGTTGTAATGCTGATGAACACAAAATAATTGAGTTACCAAGTTCAAGAACTTCAAGTACCTTTTTTTGCACTTTTTCCAAAAACTTGAAAAATCTGACTTTCCAAATTAAATGGAATACGGTATTATTTTAAGGTCACTAAACTGCTCAATTATATTTAATTATTTTAACAATGTGGCAAAAAATAATAAATCACACTTTTAAGAATATATTATAAAATGTAATTTCCTACTGTAATGCAAAGCTAAACTCTCAGAAAAGTCATTACTCTAATCTTCAGTGTCACACGATCCTTCAGAAATCATTCTAATATGCTGATTTGCTGCTTAAGAACCATTTCTTATTATCATTAATGATGAAAACAGTTGTGCTACTTAATATTTTTGTGGAAACTGATGTTTTTCAGCATTCTCTATTTAATAGAAAGACCAAAAGAACAGCATTTATTTATAAATCTTTTGTAAAATTATTGTTTTAACTTGAACTTTTGATCAATTTAATGTGTTCTTGCTGAATAAAAAGTATTCATTTATTTCAGACAAAAAAAACTTTTAAACCGTACCATTTTTAAGATCATCAGGAGTCTGTCATTTGTGTGTGTGTGTGTGTGTGTGTGTCTGTGTGTGTGTGTGGTTTGAGTTGGTTCTAAATTTGATTCTAGATTTAGGGAGGAAAACAGTACAAACTTGTTGATAATTAGTGTGAATTATTGTGGGACATTAACAGCAATAGTACTGTAGCGGTGTGGCTGTAGAGAAGCGCACAACGCAGGAGTAATCCAAATAAGAGTCTCTAATTTCAACTTAAACTCAAAGAACAGGGGAATAACCAGGAGCACGAACAACCACAAACACATCAACTAAAGATAATACAGGACAAAGGAACTCAGGAAATGCACCAAAGTGTAGCTTGTCAAATATGATGGGTATTACTTTCCAGAAGACTCAAAGCTCAGAACCTTTCAAAGAGTCAAGTGGACTCAAGTTTTCAGACCAGAGTATATGTAAAGTATGTTGCAAAGAAAGAAAGAAAGATCCAATCATTTACTGTCCAACAACTGTATTTATTAAATTGGCAAAAAAGACAAACAATAAATAAAAAAAGTAAAATAAAAATAAACAGTCAACAATGACTAGCACTGTGGACCAGTTTTTATTTATTTATTTATTTGTTTTTATTATACATATTTATAAATTCAATATATATATATATTATTTAATTTCCATTTAGTTTGTTGAAGTATTAAAATAACTCAAATTAAATAAAACTAAAACTTAATAAAAGACCTATACAGACATAATAAATTCAGACATAATTTAACTAAAATGTAAATAAATACAAATACAAATAATACAAATCAAACCAGTTCACTTAAAAATGTCATAATGTTCCATTTGTGGAAGGAAGGCTGTATTAAAATACTGTGACAGGGTTTCCGGCACTGCTTCAGTTGCGGCTCTGCTAGTGCATGTACTGCGCCATGACATAAGAAATTATTTTTAGCTCAGTTGTGTTCTTGTGTCCTTAGATGTGATAAAAGAAAGACCTTTCCAGCACAGAAAGAAAGAGTGCTATGAAATACTACAAAATTCAATAAATAGACCCCACTACCATATTGTCCTCACTGGTTGAACTAAATGCAAGACAAATACAGTGTAGTCTATTTGCTTAAGTCATTCCTTCATGATGTATGGCTTTATAACACTTAGAATAAATAGAATGTTTGATGTATTTTAGTTCTATTTGCCAGCTGTGAACTGTCATACAATAAATTGTCATTGTAATGAAAAGAGATTTTTTTATTTATTTTTAAAGGGCCGTTAGGTCATATTAGCAAAATCTTGTGAGCAAAAAAGGTCAATATTCTATTGTCAGTTATATAGCGATGTATGAAGCAGAGCTCACACAGAAGTCACTTTCAAATCAAACAGCCCTCACAAGTGGATTCCTGTTAAAGCGAGTGGTTTTCGCCTGTGAACTATCACGAACAATGGTAAATGTAATCACACCTTCAGGACAAAGGAACTCAGGAGAACACAGGGCTTAAATGAACGGAGAACAAAGAGATAATTAATCAGTTACAGGTGGACACAAATGAACAAATCAGGCAACACAGGAAAACTAGGCCAAGGCAGGTAGAACAGAAAACGCAATAAAAACAGACTCAAACCGAACACGGAACGTGATAAGTACTCTGGGCAGACCGGCTTGAGCTCCTTTCTGGATAATTTATTAATCCTAATTAATCCTGATTTCTGTGCGAAAACATTCACATACACTTATGCAGAAATATATGCATATGAGCAGTTAGTGAACATGACCCACTGTGATCTACTTTTGAATGTTTTCACCCATGTATCGGTTATTCTGACTATCTGTGAAAAAGTACAAGCTTTAGTACCATTAACCTCAATTCAACATCATAACATGCTATCTCATAAAGACTCAAAAAAAAAAAAAATCACATAAAGGAAAGGGCGTCAGTAAATGAGACCTATTTCACAACCTTCCTCTGTTTTTCTTTCTCTCAAATACATTGCCATGACTCACCAGACACTCACACATTTAATATCTGCCATTTTGTTTGATTAGCTGTGCCTCGCTAGCCTGTGATATTGGTTGCGAGAGATGTGTTCATTTCCCCCCCTCCCGCCTCAACCGTTCTCAAAGGCCTGGCACAGAGAGAGGCCTCATTCAGTCATCATGACCCCCGCAGGCTTGCAGGCATCTTAACAGCCGTCTATAACAGGAGAGCACAGCCACAAAGACCCCCCACCTTCTACTCACACTCCAGAGGCCAAAGCACTGATGAAAACACACCATGACAGCAGCTGCAAGCAGCCTCACACACACTGGGACCAGTCAATACTTTCTGCTGTGTGTGTGTGTGTGTGTGTGTGTGTGTGTGTGTGTGTGTGTGTACTGAGAAACGTCCTGCTCCAGTCGTGCTTGCGAATCAGTCTCTTGTCGATCAGCCAGTTCAACCGTTTCATCATCAGACTCCAGCTCGAATTGGTAAGGTACAATCGATACCATCTTCTCTACGTATTGACAAGTTTCCAGGGCTGTCATTCCATCATGGCAATGGGCGTTTCGTTTCAGACACACGCTGTACGCAGTAGAGCAATCCAAATACTCGTAAAACAATATTAGCAACCTTAAAAATGGCATAATAGGGGCACTTTAAGAGTCTGAAACAACAAATGAAATAATTTGGTTTGTTATCGAACTTGTTTTGAAATAAAACGCACATTGTGTCTGTGATGATTTCTTGTGAGATTTGTTAGAAAACATTATTATTATCCAGAGAGTTTTTAAGGGTGTGATATTTTACAATTGCAGCAATATTAGACAGAAGTTTGCCACAGGAGATTATCAGGAACATTATATTTGTGTGTTTCCTCCAAAGTACTAAAACGGTCATTAACAAAATAACAAAAACCATTAAGCGGATCTGAATCAGAACCAGTATCATTCATTTCTCTTCCTGAACAATAAATGACATCAGATTCAGGTCTCGCTGGAGAAGTAAACTATTTATTACAGACCGTACTCGGTTGTGAAGAAGGCTTCAGTTTTTCACCATTTCTCACTACAGTTGTTATCAGCA